AAAAATATAGATTTGAAAATTTAACTTTTAAGTTACTTTTAAACCGAGAATTTAAGCATATAAATAAAATTGTTGATGCAAAATTAAAATTAAAATGTATTATTTACCAATACAAAACTTAAAATTAAACGTAAATTCATAACGGATAAATACACTATTATGTTTGCATATATTTTAATAGATATTTAAAATTTTAATTTTGTGATTAATAAATGGTTTGTTTAATAATTTTTTTAATTTATGCGACAGTTGACTAAAATTTAATAAAATATACAAAAACATATAATTTAAAATTATGAATTTATTAGACGCATCTAGACTTTTTATATATATATTGAAAAATTATTAGGATGAAACTATAATTATATTTAATGTAATAGAACTCAAACCTTAATATAAAACTATGATTTGAAGGTTGAAACATTATTATGATTTTTGTATTTCTGGCGTTAAATTTTAGTGGCAATAGCTTAAACAAAATTAAAATTAATTCATTTGGTCAATGATTTATTAATTTTTTTTTATTTTTTTTATTTCTATGGAAATGGGTTTAAACTATAATAATAAGTTTCAAGCTAGAAAGGTAATAAAAAATAAAAATTATTTTTAGAAAAAATAACTAAATAAATCTAATATTTATTGAAACTACACCAAATAAAGCCAAAAAAAAAAAAAAAAACGGAGAGTAGTGTGATATATTAATTAACGTAATTTTAGGCTCTAATTACTTGATTTAACATGAGAGGAATTTCACACAGAGTTGACGTGGAAGACACGTGTCGAGCGTAGAAGAGAAGTAAAAGTACCAATTTCGACGGATCGTGTTAAGATTGGGGCAATCAGGTTAATTAATAGCCATGCCCGATCTGGGCATCGTGGGCTCTCTTGCTTTTTGGACATACACATGTGGACACTGCTGCAGTGGAGTTCGTTAAGGCCAAACCCACACTTTACCCCTCACACGCGCTCACTAGCGCGTGTAACCCACACTCACTTTTATAACATGTTCATATGATTGCACATGCTAAAGAAAGGAACCTGCCGTTCAAACCCACTATAATGTTTCTTAATCATCGCATGAATTGACGTGGCAATTCCTAAATTAATATTATTATTATTATTATATATTTAATATTACTCCTTTTTTTAATCTTTTGAATTTGTGTTCCTGCACTTGGATGCATGAGAACATCGATCCAGACAACATTTTAATTGTTCCCTCCCTTTTTATAATCATATTATTTTTAATTTTTTTAATTGTGAAAATAATTTATTTAATTGGATCCTAGCTGAAAATTTGACTCACTACTAAATAAATAAAAAATGGAAAATAATAATAATAATAATGACTTATTGGAATTAGTGAGAGCAGGCGCGTGGAGTAGCGGCGGCAAGAAATGAAACTGAATCACGAAGATCCAACCCCAAAACGGTGCGCATAGAAGCATCGGATACCTTGGTAAAGTCCTCAATAAGGCCATCCAGCTACCCGTGCCAGATCTCTCCAAGGTGGTTGAATTATAAATAATTAATTATTTATTACATTTAAAAGAAGAAAAAAAAAAGGGGTGAAAATTGGATTAGGATTTTGGATGGGATTGGGTTACCAAATTCCAACTCATTGCCAAAAGTGAATCTTTCCACGTGAGGTGTCTGGTAGCGTACCAACTGCTTGGATTTCAGCATTAATCATTCCCTTATTATTATCTTATGCTTTATTCCCTCTTTTTTTCTACCTCCCTCACACACCCTTTTTTGTTTTCTTTAAGATATTTATATTATTCATAAACTTATTAAATTATTATAAATTTAAAATTTTCGGGACTAAATTGTTATTTTCACGAAAGATCAAGACCTAAACACATTATTTTCTATGATACAAACTGTAACAATCAAAGTCCACCGCTAGTAAATATTGTCTTCATACTTTTTTCTTTCGATTTCCCCTCAAATTAAGAGGAGGTTTTCATACTCTTGTAAAGAATATTTGTTTTTTTCCTAACAGACGTGGAATCTGAAGACCTCTATTAAGGTGATTTGGGGATTTTTTTTTTTTCAAGCAATGATTTTATTTGGTTGAGTTACTGTGTCTTATTTTGTCTCGTTATGAAAAAAACAAAAGTGAGGTAAGTTGTATTTCATTTAATACATTTTTATTTAAGACCATAAATTCATTTCACCACTATACTATTTTTAAAATACATTATTATTTTTTATTCGGCTTTAAACTTTTTAAAAAAAAATCTATTTATTAAAATAATGTTTATTTGACAATTTAATAGTGTAAAAAAGGAAAGAAAGTCTGTAAGTATGTACATTATTTAAAAATACACATAAATTTACAAGTGTTCAATGTTTTATTAAAAAAAATAAAAAAAATATAAATATAATACGTAATTTATTTATTTTATGGTGACTTATTTATTTATTTTATTTTTAAGACAAGATATAAGCATGTCATTGTCATTGTTAAATACATGTGTTTCCCAATGTTTTTTTTTTTTAGTTCTGATATTTTCACGAAGCTGTAAAAATTAAAAACTTATGAAATACGAATTTTAAATATTTATATTTGAAAATAATGATAATTTTCATATACATTGTATTAAATATGACGGGCCCATATGTTGGTTACAAGATTCTCTGTGCATCATACAAATCTTGCTAAGGACTTGTATCGAGTAAATACATGAACGTAATAAAAAAATAAAAATAAAAAGTATATATTTATCAATTATAGAATTTACTATATACTGAATAATTTAATAAAGTGAATAAAAATATTATTTATAATGGAGTAAAGCATAATAAAGTTTCCAGTAATTATTAAGGATAGAAAAGTAAATCAATAATCTATAATAAAACGGCAAATATTTAAAAAAAATCCTTTGAGATTTCTTAGTATATTATAATCGTCAAGTTATTTTTAGGTCACTTTGAATTATTTGTATATATAATTTAATAACTTTTTAGGGAAAAAAAGCTAAAAATAAACCAAGCCTTGAGATACGGAAGATTTGAAGGATCACAGAAAAGACGGCTAAAAACAATGGCTTAGGAGGCTAAGCTAAAACTCAAATGCGCATTAAGAGAGTTAATAATGGAAGTCGACGGCGCGCGCAGCCACGCCGCACGCACAGCTCCCAAAGCTCATTGCATAATGCTCCACACGTTTTGTTTTTTTTTATATTATTTGGAGATTAATTCCGGGTCAACCCACGTTCGGTAGTACCATATTTCTAATTTTGGTATTTTTCTCACACAAATAATTATTTTAAATACTAGAGTACCATTTACGTAATAAAAAAGAGGGGAAATAAAAATAAAAATAAAAATAAGCTTTTTTTCTAATATTTATTATTGCATTTTATAATAATAATAATAATAAGAATAATAAGAAGAAGATATGAATAAATTATGTGGTTTTTTTGTATTTATTATTTAGGTATTTCACACACGAATTAAAGCTGTTTCATTTGTGGTTCCAACGTCGCTGTCCCTCAAATAAAAGGCCTTTCGGAATTTACACACACCTACCCAAATTATTTGATTCCTTAAAAAAAAAAAAAAAAATCAATTATTGGGGGTTTCCCCCTCCCAAATAATAAATATATATATAACGTTAATCATAATTTATAAAAAATTTAAATATTACAACATATATATAAATTTAAAATATTACAATATATATATAAATTTATATATAAAAAGTGGGGCGAGATAGGACGAGGTAGGGATACACAGAGAATATAACCCTGTCCACAGTCCCTCTGGGAAGATAGATTTAGTTTATTCGTAAACTATTAATATTTAAAAATAAAATAAAAAAAGAAGCTAAAATTTTAAATAAAAAAATAGTTTTGATTTTTCAAAATTCACTGTAAATTCAATTGTGAGTGGTACACTATCTTAATTAACAATGGGTTCATTTTCGTTTTGGGCTTACTTTCGCATAAGGCCCATATAGAGTCAGAAAACTCAAGCCCACGAAATTTGCGCTTTAAATAAAAAAAAAAAAAATCGAATTTTCGTACTAAACACGTCATTCACATATTATATTCAATACCTAATAGTTAATAGAAAGTGCTTCTCAGCGCGCAGAGACCATACGACGTTAGTTCTCGTTCCTTTTACCTGTCGCATCACGAGAAAGAACCCACCACAGGTAAGGGTACTCAAAATATTGCATTTTCAAATCCTTTGGGATCGTGTTATTGGGAGAACACATATCTATACGTCCTATGAAATTTGTGTAGGATATTCTGAAAAGATTTGTATATCCACTTAAGGCTATTATTGTTAGGGTTAATTTCATAGGCTATTATTGTTACTGTTAATTTTACAGTTTTAAAACAGAGAGAAGTTTTCATATTTTTATAAAAAATGTTTCATTCTACACTCCCTAAAAAATCTCACAATCCACTCGTTTAGGAGCCTATCGTACTCTCTAGCACACCACCTAGTGCTTCTCACAATTCACCCCTTAGAAGCCTATTGTTTTAGTTGGTATACTACTAGATGCTCCATACACTTTACTAACTGATACTATCTGCTTTAACTTGTTACGTTCATTTAGCTTCATAATAAATGACCTCTGTCAATTAAACTACACAAGTAGAGTATATAAATAAAAAAAAGTAATAAATTAAATTTCCAAAGTACAAATTCTGTTTTATTTATTTTAGATTTAAATCGGAAGACATTTTCCAGAAAACGATTATATATATATTATTATATAATATTGATAACCGTCGAATATCCCATTAACTGAATTAGGACTTGGGGATCACGAAAGAAATTTCTGTTTATTTATTTATTTATTTTTATTTTTTTATTATTTATTAATTTTTTTTTGACAGAAGGGAAATTCTTGGACTTCAAAACAGAAATTTTCCCTGTTACCAGGCGGGTATAAAAGCGAAACAGAACGGCGAAAAAACGAACTAGAAAAGAAAACAAGAAACGAATCACTTTCCCTCCACTTGGTGCTCTACTCTCGCTCTCTTTTCCCTCTAAAAATCAAGCTTCAACTTCCTACTCTCGCCATCTCTAACCAGTGTAGGTTCCCGCCATTTTTATCGAGAAGAAGATTTCGTACAATATTCTTTATGGTGCCGGACTCATCTCCACATGTCGATGACGACGGCGCTTGTGATCTCGGCTTCTTATCGTCCAAAGAACGCTCTCTTTCGAGGCGCAATCTCAAGCAGCATCAGGAGCAAGACAATGTGTCCTCGGATCGCTCTGTCAGCCGTTTTCGATCAAACCTCGACCGGCGCGATCGCCACGGGTGGTTTCCGTTCAGAAGGAGATCGTTCATCGTTTTGGCGTTCTTCGTTTTGTTCACGCTGTTCATGTTTCAGTTGTTTCTGGAGAGTTCGATGACTTCGGTGTTCTTGAAAAGGAGCAAGAAAGCTTGGCCGCGTGAGGCAGAGTTGAAGCCCGGGAGGACACTTAAGTTCGTGCCGCAGAGGATTCCTCGGAAGTTTATTGAAGGTAATGAGGTTGATCGATTGCACTCGGAGGATCATGTTGGTTTCCGGAAACCGAGGCTTGCTCTGGTGAGTGGTTAAGTTTCTATTCGTTCTTACATTCTCGAGTTATGGTTTAATTAGTCACTCGAACGAACTTATCTGACAATGAGTTAAGTTACGTGATCAAACATCCATTTCAATGCCTTCTGCCTTAGAAAATGAACTCAAACCACTTTCACTGGTGCGCAATAATAGATTGCGTTGATTAGTTTTTTCGCTTTCTGAAAGAAATTGTTTATACGAATTAGTGCAACACCTGCTTTCTCTCTGGAGGTCAGCAACCAGAATTTGAACGTTCACACGACTAAGGTACAGTGCACACTGTTTTAAAACTTCCAAGCAACTTTAGATTGAGCTCCATGGTATTACGGATGGTCTTGACTTTTGAAGTGACTAAGCCGGGAGCTACGACCACCTATAGAAAAAGAACGTGTATCTTTTCGAGGTAGTGATTATGCGTCACTGTAAAACAACAGACGAGTATACACTGTATTTTAACTGATAAAAATATTATATCACGTTTTTATGGCAGTAAAGTTGTGTAAAAAATGAAATCCTGTTTTATGAATCTATAGTCATTACTTTCGACCTCTTAGGGATGAAAAAACTTTAGGGGAAGAACTTCGAATGGCAAGATAGATACAGTTGATGGAAATGAACAGTGGATTCCGGTGTGAGCCTACTCCACTATACCTACTGTGATCATATGCCAATAATATCATCAATTTGGTATTAGCATGTTTTGGCGTCTAGAGATATTGTAAGCTGACGGGATATCATAGTGTATTTCTCTTGAATTATTTTTCACTGTCGACTTCATGCTGATGATTAATTGCTTTCCCAACAGCGATCATTATTAAGTTTTCACGATCCGTAAGATTCTGTCATAGTGACCGAATATTCTTGGCTTTAGAGCTGAGTAGCCACTACCAATTTTCCTGTCACTCTGAGTTCTAAAGTTGAACTCCATTCTTTTCGATGCAGAATCTTGGTTACTTTTGAGAAATTTGTTGTATTAATACTCAGCAACTCTTATTACTAGCTTTTACATGTTTATATATGCCGGGATGCACATAGCGATGTGTTAGTGAATGTTGTATCATCATGTGTAGACTCGATCATGCACGAGAGTCCTAAAATGCACGGCTATTTGAGCACCCACACGCCCCCCCCCCCCCCCCCCCCCCCCCCCCCCCCCCCCCCCCCCCCCCCCCCCCCCCCCCCCCCCCCCCCCCCCCCCCCCCCCCCCCCCCCCCC